CCATCTTGGTTCTAACTTTTAAGTTGTCCTTGTTCCTTTCTTGGTATAAGCTGAACTAACTTTGGAAGGAACTCAGTTTATAGTTTAAAACAAAGACAATAACAGCCCTTTCCAAAAACAAACCTTCTTCTTGTCTGGGGGCTAGACTGCCTTTGTAGAACTAAGAACTTAGCTACAAGATTAGAAATTATGGTTCAGGAGTCATGCAGCTGGAGGTTACAAGATTCTGACCCTTCCTAAACCACTCCGAAGATCAGTGCTTGAGACATTGCAGACCCTGCGCTTGATGGATCAACTGGCACCACCCAGATCCCACACATCTACATGGGATTATTCAAATGGCATCTTCCTCACTGATTCACAAGCTCCATGGGAGCAGGGCCATCTACTTCTGCTCATCACAAGACCCCCAGACACAGAGTAGGCACACATCTACTACAAATACAAATGTATGTATGTGGCCTCATGTGTGTGCAAACATGTCTGCATCATCTACATTCCTACCTGCCTGTCTGGCCTCCCCTGTGTCCTGTGTCACATTCATCCACAAATCATATGTGTGCAATGAATGGGAATAGTAAAAGGAAGGCAGTCTGTATTCCACCTTGCCCCAGAGGATCTACTTGCTCCCAGTTCTTCAGAGCTCAGTAAGGTGCCCAGTGCCAGGCTCTGTTATCCCTCTTCCTCTCCAGAGATCATTCCCAGCCAGGAATGTTGAGGAGGGAGTGGTTCTCTTACCTTTCCGTGTGATGGGACCCAAGTTCAGGACACGGGATTGATCTATGACACTCTCACTTCGGAATCTGGTCCCAGAGCAGGTCTAGAGGGAGAGGGCAATAGAAAAACACCCTCCATGAAGGAGCCTGACTGTGGTTCTGCCACATGGAGTGGACTGCCCACCTCACAGGTGCCTCCTTCTGCCCCAGGCAGAAGTTGTTAGGAGACCTGTATACTGGGATTCATGCATGTCCCAGCTCTGCCATTTGTTAGATAGATGCAAAATCTCAGGCAAGCCACTGAAGTTCTCTGAGCCCCTCTCCTCATGAGGAAAGGGAACTAGTACTACCTCCCTTATAAAGTTGCTGTGAAGCATTAAAAGCTAACACAAATAAAGTGGACACGGTGCTTAAAAATGTCAGCTCCTGTTATTTGAACATAAGCTTGCAGATAAGCCAGAGCTTTTACCAGCCTGCCGCACTTCACAGATCCCACCTGATTTTCCCGGCAGCTTAGGTTTCCTGCCTAGCCACACCCACCTCATCTTATTGCTCATTCTATCCCTGTGGTAAAAGGGGGCAACAGGGAAGAAATATTGATTTGCTTTCTTTGTGGCCAGATGTCTTTGGTTATAAGAGATGGGTTGGGGGAGGGGAGGCGACTCACAGGCTTGCACTTTTCATTCATGATGTCACAGAGATAGACTTCACAGTGCAGATAGACTAGGTCATAGTTTCCAGCAAACCGGAACATCTGGACGGAAAATCGGCCTTGGGAGGACTCCCCGTTCTCCACCACTTGGACAGTTGAGTCTTTAGTCTGTGGGCATCTGGGAGGGTTACACATCATTTAATGTGGTTGGTTAAACAAAGATTCTGGAGTCAGACTTCCTGGGTTCAAATATTGCTCTGTCACCTTTTAGCTGTATGACCTTGGGCAACTTACTTAATCTCGTGTGCCTCAATTTCTCCACCTGTACATAGGAAATAATTGCAGCCCATGTGATAAAATAGCTGTAAGGATTAAACTAGTTAATTTCTCAAAGTGTGTAGAACTGTGTGTAGCATACCATAGGTGCTTTATATATTTGATACTAAAGTGAAACTGTCATCAGTGCAGAGCTGAAACTCTCCAAAAGTCAGTACTTCCTGATTTCCCAGGAATTACATTCAAAAATTATTAGCTGCTGTGTGCTATCTACAATATGCGTGGTATAATTATAACAGTGGAAACCTCTGGGTACCGAGAGCCACTGATGAAATTGGAGTATGTGCACCCATCTGCGCATATGCACCATTGTGCCCAAACACAGTTACAAAGAGAAACCCAAAATAGAGCATGCAGAGACTCCCACGTGTGCTGGGCTGGGTCAGGATACCCATGGGCATTCTGGGGAGGCAAACTGGGCACCCTCTCTGCCATTCACACTCTTTCCTCAAAGTTGATTTATGAGGGAGGCTGGACACTGACTGCAAAACTGAGACGGGACCTTCTGGGAGTGTTTTTCACTCTTAGCTCTGTGTCTCCCATAATTCACATCTGGCCCCAAAAGTGCAGACTCCACCTGGCAAAAGAAAAGCCCTAAGGTTAAGTGGACCCAACTCCTGAAAGGCGGACAGTATGGCCTGTGAGGGCTCCATGGGCTCAAGCCAACCTGGACATTCATGTGTCCCCTCCAGGCGCTTTCACTCTCTCCCTGACTTATCTCCTCTTCGTGCCTTGTGATATTCTGACACCCATCCTAGACTGGCAGTTCTCACCCCAGCTCCCACACACACCCAGATGGAAACACATAGACACACCCTACATTTTTTCCTGCTTCTTTTTCAAAACTTTCCAAGTTTTCCACAATGTCCCTGCTGTACTTATTTTATTTTATTTTTAGAGGGAGTCTTGCTCTGCCACCTAGGCTGGAGTGCAGTGATACGATCTTGGCTCACTGCAACCTCTGCCTCCCAGTTCAAGCAATTCTCCTGTCTCAGCCTCTCGAGTAGCTGGGATTATAGGCGCTTGCCACCATGCCTGGCTAATTCTTGTATTTTTAGTAGAGACGGGGTTTCACTATGTTGACCAGGTTGGTCTTGAACTCCTGACCTCATGATCCACCTACCTCAGCTTCCCTGGTGTACTTTTTTTTTTTTTTCTTTGAGGCGGAGTTTCGCTCTTGTTGCCCAGGCTGTAGTGCAATGGTGTGATCTCAGCTCACTGCAACCTCCGCCTTCCGGGTTCAAGCTATTATCCTGCCTCAGCCTCCCAAGTAGCTGGGATTACAGGTGTGCACCACCATGCCTGGCTAATTTTTTTGTATTTTTAGTAGAGATGGGCTTCACCATATTGGCCAGGCTAGTCTTGAACTTCTGATCTCAGGTGATCCACCTGCCTCAGCCTCCCAAAGTGCTGGAATTACAGGCATGAGCCACCGTGACTGATCCCCTGCTGTACTTTTATACTCATGAAAAACAAGTTTTAAAATCCCAGCATAGCAGGTGTTATTTTTCCCCATTTATGTCTGAGAACAGAAAAACCCAGAGAGATGAGCTGACCTGTTTCTTAAAACTAAGAAATGACAAAGGCAAGATTTGAACCCAAATCTCTGTGATACTCCAATCAAGGTCATGCCAACAGTTTCCAAATTTCAGTTCTTTTTTTCTTTATTGAGCTACCACCTTTAGGAGCATTTTCCTGTGTGTCTCAACATCTCTATTATTATTTACTTACTAATTTTCTTGAAATCCACTTGTATTTTTTACTGAAATACATTTATTTTCTAGAAGAATCTTTAGGTCATGACTTCAAATGGCAGACAAGTATCACTTGCCATAAATAGAACAGGACCATACAATGAGGACAAGATCAACAAAAGAGTTGTATTAAGTTTGAGTTAAACACTGTTAATTGTAAAATGCTCTGAAACAGACTTCTGCTTTATTTTTATTGCAAAGGGAGATTCCAGATAACAAAGAAGTATGAACATCACATTAGCACTCACCTGAAAATATTCCCTTGATATAACCAGGCAGACTCTAAGACAACCTAATGGAAACAGACTACTGTCTCTCAGGAATGCTTTTTCTGACAATGCAATTAAAATTGCAAATGTCTCTCTCCTTCTCCTGCTTTGTTTCTTCTGTAACCTCTTTGTCATTAACATACTACATATTTCACTTTCATTTAATCGTTTGTCCTCCCCCTTTAGACTATAAGATGTATGAGGGCAGAGGTTTTTGTTCCTTCTATTTACTGTGAAGTCCACAGAACCCAACACATAGCAAGCTTCCAAAATATCTTTTCAACTTATGAATGAGAAAGTGAACCACCTTCTCATGGTAAGATTCATAGTCATCGAGTGCCTCTTGAGTAAAAGGTAGCACACTTGTGTCCTAGTTTCAATTGGCCCTTGGCTAACCATGCCCACACCTTACTCCTCCCCCAGGTGCTGGGCTGCCTGCTCCCCTGGGCAAGCCTTTCCATCCGGTTTCTTACCATTTTTTGAATTGTAAACCCTACTCAGCTCTCTGGCGAAGCTTGTACATCCTTCTTCAGAAATAATATTTTTAAATGCATATAATATATAACACATAAATATATATATTTGCAAATACATATGTATTTGATAATTCATTAATAAGGTCTAGTGAAAATCCTAATGCTATAGTAACTAAAAAGTACTGATGACCATAAATGACTTCACATGACCTGCTAATATTTCTGTAGTTTGTTGCCTGTATTTATAATGTATGGGAATGCTAAGGTTCCGCTACAGGGTAATGAATATAAAGATGCGATTTTCCGGCTGGGTGCAGTGGCTCACGCCTGTAATCCCAACACTTTGGGAGGCCGAGGCAGGTGCAATGACCTCAAATCATCATTTGAGGTCAGGAGTTCGAGACCAGCCTGGTCAATATGGTGAAACCCCATCTCTACTAAAAATACAAAAATTAGCCAGACGTGCTGGCCTGTGCCTGTAATCCCAGCTACTTGGGAGGCTGAGGTAGAAGAATCACTTGAACCCAGGAGGCAGAGGTTGCAGTGAGCTGAGTTCGCGCCATTGCTTTCCAACCTTGGCAACAGAGCAAGACTCTGTCTCAAAAAAAAAAAAAAAAAGGATGCAATTTTCCTTCTTCCAAGTCCAAAGACCCCCTCTGAATTCTACCCGTGGGTTCCCATTTCCCATGTAGGAATCTTTGCCTTACCTGTCCTGGATGATGAAGTATTTCAGGGGGTCCGTGGCATTGCCACTGGGCGTGGCATAGCAGTTGGTCATGAGCAGTGCAAATCGGGACAGGTCACCCCCATCCAACATGGTGCCCACATAGAGAAAAGCGTCAGTGGACAGCGTCACGGAGGAGCCTTCATAGGGCTGCGTGTAGGAAGGGCTCTGGAAGAGGGCCATCCGCACCGTGAACATGCCGGTCCCGCCCACTCTGATGTTTAGGACACTGCCGGGGGAGAAGGGTTGGTGAGAGGACCAGGCTGAGAACATCCGCAGATGAGCCACCTTCTCTGGTTTGCATTCCTGGGCATTCCCTTGCAGTTATTTGCATTTTTATCCAGCAATAAGACTGGAACCCACCAACCGTTGTTTTGCAAACCGCAATAAGTACACACAGGTCAACTTGGGATCTAGATAAAATGCAGGCTCTGATTTAGTGAGTTTGGGGTGGGGCTCAAGGTCCTGCATTTCTGACAAGTGCCTGGATGCTGCTGATGCTGCTGGTCTATGGATCAATCACATCTCAAGTAACACGTCCAGTCCTTCACTTGCTACCGCTGTAGCCTTTGCTACCCCTGTAGCCTTCAAGATGACAAAAAGCAAATTATTGAGAGAAACACCTGGATTCCTTCTTTAGTCTCAATCTAGAACAGGTTAAAAGGGATTGAGCTATGATGAGTCCTACAACTTGCATCCTGATCTCCATCGTGATGTACTAACATCTACAGCAGAAGACTGAGCTTTATAAATGATTTATTTTTAACCACACTGAAAACAGCCACACTGATGTGAACTTCACTGGATGATCCAACAAAGGACATTGTAAGGCTGATACCTCACGAAATAAGGCACATGAGAAATACTCCGAAATGTGGAAGTCCATTTTACAGATGCGAACTGAGTTATCAGTGAAGACTGGGGTGAGATGTCTAACTCAAGACAGAGAGAGGGACCAGGTGCTGTGACTCATGCCTGTAATCCCAATACTTTAGGAGGCATAGGCAGGAGGATCATTTGAGGCCAGGAGTTTAAGACTAGCCTGGTCCACATAACAAAACCCTGTCTCTACAAAAATATTTTTAAAAATAGCCCAGGGTGGTGGCATGTGTCTGTAGTCTTAGCTACCTGGGAGACTGAGGTGGGAGGATAGCTTGAGCCCAGGAATTCGAGGTTGCACTGAGCTATGATTGTGCCACTGTACTCCAGCCTGGGTGACAGAGTGAGACCCAGATTCTTAACAAAACAAAACAAAACAAAACAAAACAAAAAACCATAAAACAGAGAGATGTGGGCAAACTTGTTGTTCCCCAGAGCCTACCATGCTGAGGACAGGGCCACATTGCTCCAGGACAGTGCTTGGCCAGGTGAGGCTCCAGCCACCAGCTTGCAATGAGCACCCTTCTTCCTCCAAGTCAGCTGTGCACTCTCATCAGTGCCCAGCATCCTTTCCTGAGTCTGGCTGGCCAAGAGAGCAGAAAACTATGGGCGAGCTTCGAAGGGAAGGTCATGGTCAAGTGGAGGCTCTGGACCTGATGTCTGAATCCCAGCTCTGTCACCTGCTAGACTTTACAGCTTTTGGGTGAGTCACTCAAATTTCTGTAACCCTCAATTTCCACATCAGTATAATGGGAATAATAATAATAATAATAATAATACCTTTGTCACCTAGGGCTGCTGTAGGAGTTTGATGAGATGTTCCAGGCAGAACACCAGATACAATGCCTGAGATAGAGTAAGCTTTCAATAAATCTTAGTTCTTGGCAGGGTGTGGTGGCTCACGCCTGTAATCCCAGCACTTAGGGAGGCCGAGGTGGCTGGATTGCCTGAGGACAGGAGTTTGAGACCAGCCTGGCCAACATGGTGAAACCCTGTCTCTGCTAAAAATACAAAACTTAGCTGGGTATGGTGGTGGGCACTGTAATCCCAGCTACTTGGGAGGCTGAGGCAGGAGAATTGCTGGAACCTGGGAGGTGGAAGTTGCAGCAAGCCGAGATCATGCCATTGAACTCCAGCCTGGGCAACAGTGCGAGACTCC